AATATTCTGTTAATCAAAACTCACAAGAAATCCTGTGCATGTAAAGTATAGCTGATTGCACAATAGTGAGATCTTCAAACTACCGTAGGGACTGTCTCTTACTAACATAGTATGAGATGGTATTAGATGGTCCCTGCCCAAAAGAGCTTACAATTAAAGCTTAAGACAAGATACAGCACCTTGGTACAAGAAACAATCAGAAAAAGCACAAAGTAGCAGCAAGACAGTTATGAGCCGTGTAATAAGGAAACAGCAAACCATCTACCCATCAATTGTCAACTTTAAGTGCCTGCAGTGAATTTTCAGCATGAAACCATCCTCCTCTCCTCTGAATAGAACTGAATAACTTATTTGGTGAGTATTACCTTCCGATTTGTGTTGGTAAATTGTCCGGGAATGAACAGTGAAATTCATGAATTTAGTCATTACTCAGAATTATTAATGAATTTCTTTAGCACATAATTGATGTTCTGTGGATCATTTGAATTGCAACTGAACATACAATTTGCAATTCATGCTGTAATTAGATAACACAGTGTCCTTGGTAAATTTGATTGCAATATTCTAACCTTGTGCTGTGTTGGTTAGATACAAGTCATCCAATCAGTGTAGAAAAGCAATACTACATGACCTTTTTTCAGAGTAGCAGCCGTGTTAGTCTGTATTCGCAACTAAGGTGCCACAAGTACTCCTTTTCTTTTTACATGATCTCTGTAACTAATCCAGAGTGAATTTGCAGATTTTATGATCAAATAGCTAAACACTAGTTTTTCATGTGTATTTGTACTAGTAAAGGTTGAATGCTTGAATGTTTGTGGGAAAACAAATGTGAAAGAGTTGCAAATGTGATAGAATCAAAATTCACTTCAGAATTCAGACACATTAGTGCTGACCTGCTACTATTCATGCTTTCAAACCCTATTGGATGTGGGAGGTGGAGTGGACCAGCTATGATCAGGGACCCAGGAGCAGCATGGAGGAACACCCTACTGCACAAAGGCCCAAAGTCTATGGAATTTTCCCTGCAGAACTCAAGATCACCTCCTGACTGAAGGGTCATCACGCTTCCTACCCACTCCACAATAGTGAAACTGTACCTCTTTCACTCCAACCTATGGGTTTCAAGTTGCAAAGATCCCATGGCATCAAGTAGTTGGGTTGGGGGGAAAAATATCTATGCAGTGGGTTATTTTGTGTGAAGCAGCCTTTATAATAATAGGATTGTACTCTACATGACTGTAATTTTTTTTAACCAAAACTACCTTTCCATAAGCAATGGCAATTAAAATATATAAATGGATCTTTTCTCCATGCATCTTAGATTCTGAACATCAAAGCTGTTTAAGAATGTTTGTTGTGCTTTTTAAGAACTGGAGCACTATTTAAACGTCAGAAGAAGTTGCTAGATTTTAATTAGTTATTTTCTAATTTATTTTCCTAAATAAAGCCTTGGCACTTGTCAGTTAACTGTTCAATTGTCCTTTGTGTAGCATTAATGATTTTCCATCTCTATCTGCTTCTAATTGTCAACAAGGAAATGTGCAAAATAATGCACTAACAAGAATTGAATTAATTGTTGTTACCTTGAGACCACTAGATGGCATAATTACACTACTTGAAACATGGGCTCTTGGGTGCCAGGTCAAAAAGGGTTTGCACAGTAATTAAAAAATTGGCATATTGTTAAATCACTTGAGATTTCATTTTCCTGTGACTATAAATCCTTATAATTTCATTTCAACTTTATGCTTGGTAGATAAACTAAATATAGATGGGCTTTGAGTTAGTCACCCAAACAGACTGTCACATAGACATTTATTAAAGCATCATCATCTATTTCCCCTCTGTGGTACATCCTAACCAAGAAAGGGCCCGGTTATTCTTTTGTATAATATATTTCCCATTTATTTTCACTCGTCTCCCTAGTGCCCACTTATACCTCTATACTCCTGTCAAGGTTCCTCCCCCACTCTGAACTCTAGGGTACAGATGTGGGGACCTGCATGAAAACCTCCTAAGCTTACTTTTACCAGCTTAGGTTAAAACTTCCCCAAGGTATAAATTAATTTTATCCTTTGTCCTTGGAATATCCACTGCCACCACCAAACTCTAACTGGGTTTACTGGGAAACGTAGTTTGGACATGTCTTTCCCCCCCAAATCCTCCCAACCCTTGCACCCCACTTCCTGGGAAAGGTTTGGTAAAAATCCTCACCAATTTACGTAGGTGACCACAGACCCAAACCCTTGGATCTGAGAACAATGAAAAAGCATTCAGTTTTCTTACAACACTTTTAATAGAAATAGAAGTAAATAGGAGTAAAGGAATCACCTCTGTAAAATCAGGATGGTAGATACCTTACAGGGTAATTAGATTCAAAACATAGAGAATCCCTCTAGGCAAAACCTTAAGTTACAAAAAAGACAGACAGAAATAGTCATTCTATTCAGCACAGTTCCTTTCTCAGCCATCTAAAGAAATCATAATCTAACACATACCTAGCTAGATTACTTACTAAAAGTTGTAAGACTCCATTTCTGTTCTATCCCCAGCAAAAGCAGCATATAGACAGACCCTTTGTTTCTCTCCCTCCTCCCAGCTTTTGAAAGTATCTTGTCTCCTCATTGGTCATTTTGGTCAGGTGCCAGCAAGGTTACCTTTTAGCTTCTTAACCCTTTACAGGTGAGAGGATTTTTCCTCTGGCCAGGAGGGATTTTAAAGGGGTTTACCCTTCCCTTTATATTTATGACAACTCCTACTCAAATCTCTTCAGATCTATCCTATTTGGAGTTAGAGCATAGCAGCTGGCCAATTTCTTCACACAAACTTTTCCAATGCTAGCTAATTCAAAAGACTTCACTTGTAAATGTACATCATAAACCATTTCAGCCTGGATGTGCTATGGCTGGTGATGACCCATGTTACAGTTCTGCCACGTGACTGAAAGATCTTTCGGAGTGATTTCCCTACTTGTTATGGCATTCACCTCTCTTTGGATGCTGCTATCGTCAGTTAATTAATTATGGAAAACATTATCTGCAGTTAAACATTTTCTCCACTGTTCTACTACTATTAATCAATGCAAACTCATTTACACTAAAGAACAATGTTATGCCACTCTGGCTATGTAAACGGGCTTTAGAGTGGGCAAAATGGTACATTTACACTCATTTAAGACTCCTTTCCACTGCCAGAAAGAGTGTAAATCAACCTTGCTGTAAATGAGAATCAGGCCTATGGCTTTAAGTAAATAGTTTAAGACGTAACTTCCTTTATATTACAAACTTCAGTGGTCTTAAGAGCTAGAACAGAGCAGCCTTTTTTCTGAAGATGGCCTAAAATGGGAGGAGGCCGGGGGTGAAATACAGTTTGGGTATATGGATACAATGAGACATGCTGTCAAGGGTCCTTCCCCACTCTGAAAGCTAGGGTACAGATGTGGGGAACCTGTATGAAAACCTCCTAAGCTTACTTTTACCAGCTTAGGTTAAAACTTCCCCAAGGTACAAACTATTTTACCCGTTGCCCTTGGACTTTCGCTGCCTCCACCAAACGTTTAGCTGGTTACTGGGAAAGAGTTGTTTGGGAACGTCTTTCCCCCAAAAATCCTCACCAAAACCTTGCACCCCCCTTCCTGGTGAAGGCTTGATAAAAATCCTCACCAATTTGCATAGGTGACCACAGACCCAAACCCTTGGATCTTAAGAACAATGAAAAAAGCATTCAGTTTCTTACAAGAAGAATTTTAATAGAAGAAAAGGTAAAAAGAATCATCTCTGTAAAATCAGGATGGTAAATACCTTACAGGGTAATTAGATTCAAAACATAGAGAATCCCTCTAGGCAAAACCTTAAGTTACAGAGAAACACAAAAACAGGACTATCCATTCTATTCAGCACAGAATATTTTCTCAGCCATTTCAAGAAATCATAATCTAACACATATCTAGCTAGATTACTTACTAAGTTCTAAGACTCCATTCCTGTTCTGTCCCCTGCAAGAGCATCACACAGACAGACAGAGAGACTTTGTTTCTCCCTCCCCCCAGCTTTTGAAAGTATCTTGTCTCCTCATTGGTCATTGTGGTCAGGTGCCAGCGAGGTTATCCTAGCTTCTTAACCCTTTACAGGTGAAAGGATATTTCCTCTGGCCAGGAGGGATTTTAAAGGTGTTTACCCTTCCCTTTATATTTATGACACATGCAAACTATCTTTAACATAATGTTAAAGTTGAGAAATTAAGTACTCAGTGTATGTTGGCTGGAATTTTGAAAGAGGCTTAAGGGAGCTAGTACCCAGCTCTCACTGAAAGTCAATGTGAGCTGGTTGCCTACCTGCCTTCTGTGCCTTTGAAAAGATTCTGCCCCTCCTTAAGAGCTAAGGAATTCTACATGAACTCCCATCACACATTCTGTACATTTTAATGGTAGACAGTAGATGTAATACACAAAGTACAGTAGTTGAGGTTGGAAGATAGCCTGGTGGTTAAGGCCCAAGACTTGGAGCCAAGAGATTTATTCCTGACCCCTCTGTGACCTTGAGCAAATCATTTAACATCTTTGTGCCTCTCTTTATCCTTCTGTATATGGTTACTGGAAAGCATGTTTGAGTGCAAAGAGTAGTCCACATAGGAAACTCAGGAGAAAAAAATAACAAAGTAGTCCTTGAAACACAAATGATCTCCTGATCTCACTTTTGCTGCACACATCGTTTTTCCAGATTTCATATCTGTGTTGTATGTGCCTAAGCCTTGTCTTTGTGTGCTCATTAATCACGCACATGTTCTTCCCGTAAAAGTCATAGATACTGAAAGAATACTGGAAATGTAGGAGGCCAACAAGGAGTGGATAAACACTTCAGAAATATTTTAACGTCATGCACACTCTGTCAGCAATGAACTCTGTGCACAGAGGGGAACAAAACATGTAGGTGGGAACATAAAATCCTTGTTGACTGCTATTTGCTCTGCATTTTGGTTCTTTCCAAGGGTGATTTCAGATTTCTACTTAATACAAAATGGTAAATAATCCTCATCTATAGTCTGTTGTTGTCCTGTCTTTCATGAAGAGGAAAGTAACTTATTAGTATGAGACAGCCATTGGCTGGAACAGTACAGTAAAAGGCATCATCCATGAATAGGGCAAAAGGACACTTACAATACTGCATGAATGATGCTTAGGTAGGTATGATCTTTGTAAGTTACTTGTATTGTACTTTGATTAACTGATTCTTGCATGCTTTGCTTGGTTGCCACTATGGGCCGTGCAGACAAACAAGGGAAAAATGTTTGCAGGCTTGCAAGGAAAGTAGAACTCATTTTTCATTCTACCAGTGAAATAGTTGCTAAAGAGGAAAGTCTGTCTGGGAAGTCTGAGCACTGTAAGTTTGATAAAGAAAAGAACAAATTTATGGCTTTGGGTGGAAGGGAGGAGAAGGAGGAGGGAGGTGATAGATTTGATTCCCCAAGCTAATTAACAGACCTGAAAGATCCTATGCCAATAATACTGCGGTAATCTTCCTAGGCACTGTAGTGGCATTGTTGTAAGCTGTAGAGAGTTTTGGGGTGGCTTCTGAGACCTTATCCACTCAGTTGTTTCTAAGAATGGAGCTTGACTCCAAACTCGTTAAAGAAGTTTCTTTATTGGCATACAATCAAACTACACTTCAGTTGATCACGCTTAATTGTAGGGTGTGGGTATAGGGCATACCAGACATCCAAAATTACACAGCAAACGTCTTCCTTTACTTACTTGTACACATTACATTGCATCACGCATTTTTGAATTGGCTTGGTCACTTTGTAGGAACCAATCTCTGTACAGCACGCTCTGCCCACATGCTGTCCAGGCACAACTTACTCTTTACTTCTTCTTTGCATTTCCAACTTATCTTGTCCATTGTATATGGTTCCCTGGGTTTTCTCCCTTATCTTAGCATTCTGTACAGACATTCTGCTTCCGGACTGCTGATCCATTTACCTCTCTTATCCGGTCTCCCAAGAACTGAGGTCTCACCCATGTCCAATTACTCATGCAAAGCCAGGCCTGTAGAGTCCAGCGGCCCATAGTGGCAGGCGAAAATTCTGCAGGAGGAACGGAATTCTGTGAAATTCTGCATTGCACAGTGGCGCAGAATTCCCCCAGGAGTATAAGTTATCAAGGTAAAAGTTTTTTAGGCACCTATGTCTCTGCTTCTGGGCATGCCCAATGCTGCCACCCTCTAGGCATCTGACCTCCCCATTGCCTGCCTAAGGCCCAGAGCAATCTAAGAAACAAGGAAAGATAGGTGTTTGCTTCCCTAAGTCGCATATGAGGCCCAATTGGTAGGCATACTCAGAGGCTGCCAACTGGATTGGGCCCTGTTCAAAATCTGGCCTCCACTGAAGAGGTGGGGGTGCCCAAAATATAATTTTTAGCCCAGAGGCTAGAGCACTTCCCTGGAATGTGGGAGACCCAGGTTCAGTTCCCCCCTCTGCCTGAAAGGAAAGAGGATTTGAACAAGGATCTCCTACCATAGGATGGTCTAACCACTGGGCTATGGGATATTTTGATGTGGGGCTTCCTCCATCTTTCATGCTGAAGTTGTTCCACTTGGATAAATAATTTGAGTGACTGGACCCAGAGGCTCCCACTCTCCAGGTGGGTGCCCTGACCGCTGAGCTTCAGAATCATTTTCTCACTCACTTTCTGGCCCAGCGATGGCCGGGGAGCAACTCCACAACTGCTCTTTATGGACATTGCATCCCCCTAAATCCTTTCCTATAGGTTTTTACCATAATAGGGGTGGTGATCCAGGCCATTATTTTGGGATTGGTCAGACAAGCACTGGTACAGCCTAGCATTTCTCACTCTCAGTCAGGGTCGAGTCTGCAGCCATTTTAATGAACACATTGTCAACTGATTAATTGCATTTTTACACAGTAGCTGACTATTTGGGATTGGCTGCATGATCTGTCATACTGGTGTCGGGATGTGTAGAATAAATATCCTGTGTTGTTCCTACCTCTTGGCATTTCACGTTAGAGGAATAAGAAGATATTTAGAGATCACCATTCAGCGCTGAGACATGCTGCGTGCACTTCCAATGACTTCATCTGGAAATGTCCAATCGTATCTGAGGGGGAGCTGTAAAGTGCAGGTTACAATGACAACATCTTTTGTCAATAGTACAGGATTTCCTGGGATTATGTTCAAATTCTTGACGGTCGTGGGGGGGAAACATTGTGGTCCCTGACCAAGTCCTGAGAAGGCCTCCAGTATTACGTAATTTTACAAGGTCACTGGGCATTATTCCAACCAGCAGCCTGCTTTGAGCATAATGAGTCTGAGTTGTATGTAGTCCTGTTGGATGATATTTAAAATCCACAACTTCAATGCAATCTGCATTCTGGCACTTTCTTACAGCTCATGACTATGTTTATTGAAGAGCTAAATATTGTGAAGATACATGTACTTGTAGCAATGGATCCTTAGTGTCACTTTGCCATATAGACTATGGTTATGTCTACGCTACAGCTTATGTCAACATAATTTATGTCACTCAGGGATGTGAATAAACCACCCCCATGAGCAACATAAACTACACCAACATAAGCGCTTGTTTGCATGGTGCTATGTCGGTGGGCGAGCTTCTCTCACCGACATAGCTTCTACCATTCGGGGAGGTGGTTTTATTATGCCAGTGGGAGAGCTCTCTCCTGTCTGCACAGAGTGTCTTCACCAGATGTGCTACAGCAGCACAGCTGCATTGGTCTGGCTGAGCCACTGCAGCACTGTATGTGTAGACATACCCTGAGTGCCTTTTGCCAATAGCTCTGAGATTGACAGGTTGTATCATCTCCCTGACATTTTCTCCCTTTGGGTTTTTAATTCTCTCACCTTCTGATGCGAGCTGAACAAACAATTTGAAATAAATTATTTAATGAAGGTAGCTGCTTGTGCAAACAAATTCTAATTTCCTTGAATTTAATCATTATTTGAATTTATTCAGTTTTTGTGTTTGAATGTTTTCACTCTGTATATTGAAGGCAAACAGATCATTGCAAACATTCAATACGTAATCTTCAAAATTCAAGCTATTTTGCGTAGCTGTAATTAGGCAGGTAAACCGCCCGATTTTTTTTCGACGGTTCCATGGTTGGTGAGCACGCTACCATGTTTAACAGAAATTTAAAAATTGATTCCCCAAGCTAATTAACAGACCTTGAAATTTATTTTTGTGAACATTCATGCTATTAAGTTTGACAGAGTGAATGTTCATGGAATGTGAATATGGAAGGGGCACAAGTGGCCACTCAACTTTATTAAATTAACTTGCTTTCTGTATTTGCAGAAACATTTTTGCAGTATTTGTCTTGCTCTGATACTGAATCCATTAACTGTGACAGGTCATGGATTGTTTCACCAATAGTTGGGGCCAATATACCTGGCCTCTGACAGCTCAAATCATGAGTTTAGAGAAAGGGAATGTTGGCGCCATTTGAAAGACAGATGGCACTGACTCACCCTAGCCATTGCTGAACGTTCATTTTTGCATCTGAATCATGGGGTTTTGGTACATCTCTCCAAAGCAAATGCCAGTGTAGGTGCTTGGTGGTACTCTGCTCAACACCTAGGATATAACACATTCTATAACATAACTAGAGAACCCTCCTTTCCCATCCACATTAGCAAATATAATGTTGTCCAACATTAACCGTGCAGCCAGTTGTGCTAAAATATAGTTATATTTGCAGAATAAATGGGCTCTTACTGGTTATTTGACTTGCCAAATGATTCCAGGAATATACTTTGGTGTGATGGGGTGCCTACCCCACACTGCGCTCTAAGGGGTTAATAGCATCTTAGGGTGACTGCGTGAAGTCCAGCCAATCAGGAAGGGCTGAGAGGAGCAGACAGTCAGGGCCTGGCAGGCCTGTATAAGAAGAGCTGCAGGGCAGAGCAGCTTCAATAGTTGCCTGGAGCTTGAGGAGGGAAGATCAGGCTCCTAGCCCGAGGAAGGCGTGTCAACACCCTGGGCAGAGCAGTGCCACCAGCAGGAACTGAGGAAGCTAGAGAGAACTCCTGGCTAGTTGCCAGGTCCGGCAGACTTAAGCCCTGAGGTGAAAGTCCTGGGGGCTGCAGGGAAGTGGCCCAAGGAAATGAACTGGGAAGTTGGAGGGGACGCAGTCAGTGGCAGCTATTGAGAGGGGCCCTAGCCTGGGACCCGGAGTAGCGGGCAGGCCTGGGTCTCTTCCCACTCCCTTCCCCCACTTGCCACTGAGAAGTGGCCAGACAATTGGCTGCAGTTGCCACTGAGGGAAGTGACTGGACAGCGGACTGCAGGTCCCCTGGAAGGAGGGAGAACAGAGTGTGACACGGCCGGAGGGCTGTGTCATTGTAGAGGACACCACAGTCCTGGGTGTGATGTGGGTCCTGGAGCAGAAGTGATGGCAGCGAGATACCACCAGAAGAGGGCGCACTGGCAGGCAGAGCTAATCCCCAAGACAGCCAGCCGGTGAGACACACCCCGTCATATTTGGTCACATGATTCTTCATTTTCAGGATCCATCAGTTATCAGCTCAGCTAAGAGGTACTAGACAGCTGTCTTTCCTTTATCTTTCCTTTTTGGCTTCTCCTATAGCTGGTATTTGATGCTGGGGATGGGTTCTGAAATGCATGTCCTTTCTGATGGCAGTGGGAGGAAATATTTCTTGGTCAAACAGTGTGACCAGGAGCTTGGGAATTCTGCCGGTATTACACCTCCTGTTGTGGGTGCATTATTCGTGTTAAGCCAGAAACCATCACTTTTGCTGGGTGCAACTGGTTGCATTGGTACATCACATACTGCACTTATACAAATTTTGGTGCACTTGATCAGAGTGTTTGTCCCCACGTTCTTCCTTCTCAAAATGGATGGTCAGCCCCTGCTTTCTCTCTCTTACGCACCTGCACTTCATCATTTTTGAAAATGTAGCCCTTAACCTTTCACGGTGCTGAGTGGTTGATCCTGACAGAGATCTGCTCCTGGTTTCTACTAATTACATTTGGTGGAAGGCAAACACAAAGGGTCCAGGTTAGATTCCAACTCCCAATGTATCTGATCCCCACCCTTCCCTAGCCATTGACCCAATGGAGACGCTCTGTCATTTAAAACGTGTAAAGCTTTTGCAGAAGTAGCAGCAATCTGTGCAGAGATGACCTTGTGGGTAAATCCTGCAGGAAAAGTCTCTAGTTAGAACTGTTATAAGAAAATCTGCTGATACAGCAACCATGTCACATTAATGCTTGTTTCTGAGTGAGTATCGGGCAACATGAAACTGGCAAACGTCCATGCTTTCTACTCCTGTCTGGGAACTGCTGATGTCACTGCAAAGGGGAGAGAAGTGTATCTGCATTCAGGTGTCTGGTGTACCCCTATAATTATTTCACATAGATTCTAGGCCAGATCTTCCGGCCAATATCAGGTCTGCAGAGGATCCCCGTTCCCAGTTCCTGTGTGGAGTGGAGCGGGATCGGTCAACCCCAATGCACTGTTACCTCTGCTTTGAAATTGTGGAAAAGCTAGCAGGGAATTAATGCAGCCTTGGGCTGGCTTAACTTTTCTATGGCTCCCTTGAACGAGGGAAACTTACCGTGATGCAGGTGGGGAGAAACTTGGTAGCCTGGGAGCCATGTTGTCAGGGAGTTGCAGGTGTATGGAGTCCCCTGGGATCAGATGCAGAAGGTATTAGCATTCTCAGGATCCTTGTGGTTTGGGAAAGTTCCTAAGAAAACCCTAAGGCATTGTCTTCCTGCCCTTCCACCCTCCACCCCAGTAGAGCACCCTCTCATGAGAGAAGGTGATTCAGGGCATTATGGTGAATGTAGGAACACTCTAACAATAGTAATGGGACTTTTCAGTTCTATAGAGGTTCCCATCTGTGGATCTCACAATGCTAAATTACCATTAGTGAATGAACCGCTGGGAGGGAAGGAGGTGATATCCTTGTCTTCCAGAAAGACAAACAGAAGTCTAGATCAGCTGAGTGACTTGCACCGGGTCATAAGTTAACCAGTTGCAAAGTTGGGAGAGAACCCAGATCTCTACTCTCCCAGTCTTAGGCACAAGGCCAGGCTCCCCAGTTCCTCCTTCAATTTGTGTAAAAAATTATTCTGCTTTCATATCTCACAAACCCATCTTACGGTGGGGAGCAAAGGAACAAGATCTGCCAGAGAGGGTGGCAGGGGATGAGAAGAGATAACATAGTGACAGACTCTTATCTGTTAATTGGAAGCTGGTGACATCTGAAAGTGGGTAGGAAAGCCTGTCATCTCCTAATCCACCCTGGCTGCAGATTCATGCAGAGCAGATTGCGGGAAGTTATTGTCAAGCTACTTGGGTGGGAGGAGAAGAGAAGAGTAAAGCTTTGGAACCTAGAAGAACCTCCCCCACCCATCCCCATCCAATCCAGGTAGAAATAGTACTGTTCTCTCTGTGAGTCAGGCCCCATTTCATCTTAGTCTGATTTCCTTTTTCTCTCTCCTATCCCCCTTCTTGTGCTCTGGATGGCTGGAACCTCAACTTTTCAAAATTGGGCCAGGCTTTGTAACATGAATATAGCCTACCCTGCTTGTATTCTGCTTAGATGAGTACTTGTTGGCTGTAACGTGTTGTTTGTGCTAGCTGGGTAATGAAGGAGTTGTGTTTGTGTTTGAGGATCGTTGTCATCAAGACACTTAAGCATACATGCAAGTGCCTTGAATTTCAATGTTGTTGTAGCCATGTTGGTCCCAGGATATGAAAGAGACAAGGTGAGTGAGGTAATAGCTTTTACTGGACCAACTTCTGTTGGTGAAAGTGACAAGCTTTTGAGCTCCAGGCTCTTCTTACCCTGAACAAGAGTCCTGTGGAGCTCAAAAGCTTGTCTTTTTCACCAACAGAAGTTGGTCTAATAAAAGCTATTGCCTCACCCATCTCGTCTTTCTTGAATTTCAATGGGACTTAAGCCTGGGCTTAAGTGCTTTGCTGCACTGGGGCTTTGATGAAGAAATGCAACAAGTTTAAATATTTATAAAAGCATCTTTTACTAAGTTGAGGATCCATCCCAAAAGAATGGGTGTTTTAGTTTCTTCAGCAGGCATTTTCAGTCACTCAGCAAAGAGGTCTCTAAAATCTCCCCTCTCTTTCAGTACCAGGGTTTTCAACTGGTTCAATGTTTTCCACACTGCTACAGGTTGGTGGTTGAGTGCTGGATACTCTTTGGCACCATGTGAGGGCTGGGGAGAAGAGGTTTTGAGATGCTAGCTGCTTGGCAAGGCATGAAACAATGCACAAAGTGTTTAATATCCCCAGAGTGGCACAGGAACTGAAAGCTGTGTTTTTTTTTCTAAAAGGTATATGGTCAAGAGGAGGCCACACTGCAATAAAAGAAAATAGTTCTTATTTCCTCTCCAAACATGTCTGGAGGTCTTCACTTTCAAATGGACCAATTTTAATAAATGTCTTTGACCTTCTTAGGATGTAAGAGAGGCATTTGCCAATATTTTATAATATCCTTCATGAATGGCCCTACAGTCTGAATAGGACTATGTCTCCTTGTATAGTTTTAGACTGCAAATATGTCCTTTGGGGGAAGACAGATTGCTTGAGTATAAAACAGTGAATAGTCCTGTTCAGCAAAAGGAACTCTTTCTATGGGTTTTTTCCCCACTTTTCCTGAATGTTTTTTAAAACTGTAATTTCCCTCTAACCTCCAGTTCCCCCCTTCCCCTTTGAATTTTTTTAAACACTTCAGTCTTCCTTAGTGCAACACGCTTTGGAACAGCTGACTCGTGCGTACAGTTTCCATAGTGAATAACAGAAGCATGAGGTAGAGAATAGATCCATTTGGTGACCTAGTCCAGGGGTTCTCAAACTTCATTGCACCGTGACCCCCTTCTGGCAACAAAAATTACCACATGAGCCCAGGAGGGGGGACCGAAGCCCAAGACCACCTGAGCCCTGCCGCCCTAAGCAGGCCAAACCCTGAGTCTCTCTGCCTCGAGCTGCCCCCCCCCCCCAAAGTCAAAGCCCAAGGGCTTCAGCCACAGGTGGCGGGGGGCTGTAACCTGAACCTTGCCACCCAGGGATGAAGCCCTCAGGCTTTGGCTTTGACCCCAGGTGGTGGGGCTTGGGCTTCGGCCCCAGGTCCCATCAAGTCTAACACCAGCCCTGGCAACCCCATTAAAACAGAGTTGCAACCCACTTTGGGGTCCCGACCCACAGTTTGAGAACTGCTGACCTAGTCTATCACTTGGCTAGTGAATGGTTGTTTCCTACATAGTTTTTTTTTTCCCAAGTGCTTTGCCCAGTGCCGTTCTAAACTCAGTTGTAACAGACTGATGGAAGAATGAATACAACTTCTCACCATGAGCCTGATCTAATACCTATTGACAGCAATGGGAGCTTCCTATCAGTGTTGGAACAGGCTCTGTGTGGACACCTTTTTTAAGGAACTAGTGCACAGCTCCAGTTCCATGTTTCATTTTTGTCTCTCTAGCATGGCCAGCATGGTGGTTTTATACAAATGACTAATGACATCAACCTTTTTTTCCCCTCCCACATCAAAGCATATAAACAAACTTGTGCACACACACAATTACTGACATTTAATCTTTTGACAAGTTCTCAGGTGCCAGATCCCATGGAGGTTTGCTCTTATTGCAGCCACTGTACCTGATGCTTCTCAAGCTTCTATTACCCAGGCGTTAGGTGATGAAGGAGCTGAGCCATAAAGCTCAGGATTCCAGAGATTCTGAGTGTGGCATCTGGCAATGTAGAAGTTATAATGATAAGTCCAGGGTAAATGTACTGAGTTGGGTGTCTGTATTGTTCTGTTAGATTGCAGAGTGGGAATAATGGAGAGAAACTAATTATTTGGCAGGCAGTACAGCTACAGCACAAACCTGTGAGTTTGAATGGCTGAAAGATCTAAGGTTCTGACTTTCATACTTTGTTACTGAAACGTAATCAAATGAATCATCAAGGGATAAGGGAAGTGTTTTTTCAGCTGATTAAAATGCGTCACTGTGATATACTGTATATTGTTGTTGTTAAAGTATCTACTTTTGAAATCCTGGTAGGAGTTGTCACCCGGAAAGACACAGGGCATAAAATTGCACTGATACCACACAGTTTTCTTAGGAAGCACCAGATCACATTGTGTATATTGCTATAAATAAACCGCTTATAAACTAGAGAGTCTGAGAAGCTGCTTGTGAAGACTGAAGTTCTATATGACCAGTAGATCCACCTTTGAAGAATATTATTCATAAACTAAATTAACTTAAGAAGGGACAACTAAGTGTCTCACCTCTAAAAAGCTTAAAGTAGGAAATGGGGACAATGTAAACAATATGATCTAGACTTAACTTTATGGAAGCTGGATCCAGATCTAAATGTTGTACAAAGCAAACTAGTGTGTGGAGAGAAGTCTGTGATGACAGGCATAAGGCCAAAGACTTAAAATCATACTATAACATGTAGTTCTATGCTTTAGTTAATAACTTTTAAGTGAATTGTTCCTTTAAATAAAGTTGATACATAAATTTTTGCCAATATTACCAAAAATTTTGGATTAATAAAAGTTAAAAATTTAAAGTTTCATTTACTTGTCAATATTAATGATCAATTTTGTTTTTTGCATTTCCCTCAACTTAGGCAATTTAAAATCAATGAAGTCAATTTCTCTTTCATTTGTAGTCAATTTCACTTCCAGTGTGTTACTGCTGCCATGTTTGGCTTTCAGACACTGCAGAGAAATGTCTATTAATTTGAAAACCATTTGTTTTGTTAGAATCTTTTTTAAAAGAAATGTGTGAAATCAATTCATTTGCTGGTCTTACTCTTAGGTTTTATGAAAAATTTCACCCAATATTTAATTTGTTTGATAGATTCCTAACAAACATATAAATGTAGCTTTTAAAAATAACCTCTTTTTAAAAACAGTTAGTGGAACATGAATTTGTAGTACCAAACAAAAATTCCCACAAGCTGTTAATGGCTGTTCCAAGGGGGAACAGCAAGAGAAGCACCGAAGATATTGAGCTAAGCTATGTACTTACTGCTGATGGAGTTCCACTGATACAAAACCTAATTATGTGTTTGTATTGCTACAGGTCACTTTCTGAGATGAAGACAAGTGATCTATTAAGTGTTCAATGAGTCATGATCTGTTGCATGGCCCAGTGGGAAGGAAGGTCCTTTCATCTGACCTATGACTAACCTGGAAGTGATGGTAGGTGGAGATGTTTGTTATGGGAGGGTATGTGTGGGTGGATTTCAATCATGAACTGCTAACCAGACAGATGTACATTGATCAAGAGGAAAAGTGCAGTTTAAAATTCAGTATAGCCATTTTTAAGGCAGAAGTTCACTTTCAGCTATGATTTCTGATCTAACTGCACAGTTCCACACAGAATATGCTATGAATTGTACTAGAAGGTATTGTCTCAGCAGTTCCTTTACCATGGAACTGCTTACCACAGCCATCCATAATAATTGGCTTTCTTATTCTCATTTAAAATCCTCTCTTTCTGTTCTATCTGTTGTCAGACACTGGACATAAAGAAAGTGTGTATTTCCATCTCTCCTTATGGATCAGAGAGTGATCCTAGAATAATACTCTAGGTCCTGTCCTCCAAAATGTGAGCAAGACAGCTAAACAGATTGCATTGGATTCGTAACAGGAGGGGGTGGAGGAAAGGAAAAGCAGCTAGCTGCATCCTCACACATGGGTCATTTAAACCTCCAGTTCATCTAATGCTGTTTAGTCTTTTTTCCTGAGTCTGACCTCAGTGGCATTGTTAAATGTCTGGTTACATTATGTAGTTACAGTAGATCAAGTGTAGCTGCCTCCTTAATAATGACACTGAAATCAATGACCTCAGTTCTGCAATGATCTCCATGTAGACAAAGTCCTGTGCCTGCATTGAGCCCCACTGAAGTCAGTTGTTTCTGTTTTACATCTTGCCATTGGCTCAGTGAACTGAAGTGTTTCTCTCCATGAAGTTGCTGATGATGTATTCTGATGTGAACACTTTTCAATCACAACTGGCAATAATTGGCAGTCTCTGCAGAGCAAAAAGATTGAATGGGCTTTAAAAGTGGGTCACTCTTTGACCTTCTTTCCTCTGCCCCGATGCCCCAATTCCTTATGATAATAGTCTTTCCCTTTATGTCATGTTTGAGACCCATTAGAGGGGCAGGAGGGTAAAGTTTACAACTTTTAGGGCCCTGGTCTATGATTTACTCTTCAAAGGTGCACTGTCTTTCCAGGGTCTTTTGAACAGACAGGCTAAACTTTTAGAACAAAATTAATTTTAATTTTTTTTGCCATAACTCTTAGCTCTTCAGTTGTGAAAACAAACATGCTTGTGTTCAGATCCAAACATGGGTTTGTGCTGGAAATGGCCCACCTTGATTATCATACACATTGTAAGGAGAGTGATCACTTTAGATAAGCTATTACCAGCAGGAGAGTGGGGTGGGGGGAGAGAAAACTTTTTGTAGTGATAAACACCCATTTTTTCATGGTCTGTGTGTATAAAAAGATCTTCTACACTTTCCACAGTATGCATCCGATGAAGTGAGCTGTAGCTCACGAAAGCTTATGCTCAAATAAATTGGTTAGTCGCTAAGGTGCCACACGTCCTCCTGTTCTTTTTGCGAACATGCTTTGAAAAGCCAACATAAAGGAATCAAATGTCTTTAAACTAAATTTATAGAATAAAGAAGCTTGCTGTGAGACTTTATTTTCCCCTGAATGTTCTGTTTTCACAATTTCCAACTAAAAACAGACAAAAACCCACTCAGTCTACAAGCAAGTCTGCCGCATTTTTTTTGGGTGGGGAAGAAAGAGAGATTGCTAGTGACATGGGAGCGACTGGGGAGATTTCATCACCTTATTACTTTATGAAGACAACGACAATTGTTAATGAAGAGTGTCATGCCAGAAACTTGCTTTCCTAGTGGTTGTCACAAAGCTACAGATATATCTGTCAGCACGGAGATAATGAGCTATAACTGCAAGGTCCCCGTGCTGCTGCTCCGAATAAAACAAGGTCTGTTATACCACAATGTAGTTTTCATTTTTCCTGAAGGAGTTTGAAATATTTCCTCCTAGAATGCTGAATGTTTTTATTTATTTTTAGTTAATGAAATTTTGAAAACTGACACTAAAGGTATTTTGTCCAGACACGGTTATGAATACCTATGGCTTCTCCGGCCCCTCTTTCCTTCCCCCAACAATCCTCCACTATGAAATATATATTTGGGTAGCAAGTGGACGAAGTGCCAGCAACCTAAGGTTTAATAGATGCAGAAAGCTTTGTAAATCACAGCCACTCTTGCTTTGCACTCTCCAGATGCCACAATTTTGTGCTTGTATACTGATAACTCCATGGTGCACTTTGGAAAATGTTGCATCCAGCTGTTTCTGCCATTGTCACCAAGGGAGTTGTTTGTACAATAGCATAACTTCATTGGGCCCGTCTGGTGACTGCGCTATACTTCCTTGGGTATCAAATTATTTGTATCTATCAATTTCATATTTGCGTCTGAAAATGAAAGAAATTTACATATTTTCTACTTGGTTTATGCAGAGTTGAGTGAATACATGTGAATGAAAGCTTTATTTGCTGCTTGATTATATGAGCAGATCATGATTTCTTTTGGTGTATTGTTTGTCCATCTTTTAAAATATTTTAACTTATGAATTGTTTACAAACACTTGAAAATCAAGACCTTGTGGTTAGCTGTGATTGCTCAGAGAAGTTACATATTTTGGAGGAGAGGGGGTCTGTTCCATGACTGGATGAGTATACAGGCACTTGCAACATGAATACTTGGGTGTGCAACATTAACATTTTGATTCTATGAATATTCACACGTGACTCTCTGAAATTTGTTTCCACAAACATTTGTGTCAGTATAACTTGATCATTTCACAGTTCATGGTTGGCAGACACAAAAGGGGAATGTTTATAGCACCAGCAAGTTGATTATAAAAAAATAAAATAAAAAGTTTTCTATTAAAATTCATTTTTGCGTTATTCATCCAGGTTTGTTAATATGTCCAGGAAGAGGATAATATCGTCCTCCGATACTATGGGGTGGGGTCTCATACAGATACTTACAAGAGCAATTAAAGGAAGGTTTTTTACATACCACGTGAAAAGAAACTTTTTTAAAGCTATTTTTCTGTTTTATTTATATAGTGTGTGTGGATGATGCCTTCTATTAACCTTCTGTAGTCCTTCACTGCTGCCACTGACCACCTCATGTTGTGCACTTGGCAAATTCTGAAGTTAAACAGGGTCAGGTTAGATCATTACCTGGACAGAAAATCCCCAGAGAAAACCCAGGTGCTGTAGGAAGTGGAAGTGATAGTTCAGTATAGACTCTCTTCTTGAGATGTTGACTGAGTCCTGTGTGAGTAAGGGGGCACAGTATCTTTAGAGAAGCCTGTGTTCTTTCATATATTTTTCTTTTTAGTACTGTAGATCTTTTATATATCAGTTTTATTGGACACTTGTAAATTGTGGTACCACTTGTTGGCTTCATCAAGCCATCTTGGCCTATTGAAAATCAGTAATCTAGTATCTTTGCAAAATTTTCACATGGAATGCTAACCATATGATGCACTCAGAGGCACAGTGATGTTGTTAAGTTACCAGGTGTGTGGACTTGGTGAGTGACCTACTAGGTGCATATATTTTCAGATGCTGCAGTCAGAGGTAATAAATCTCTGAAGTGTAAAAATATAATATGGTGTGTAATATTAGAGACTCACTGAAAGAGAACAAACAAGTGTGCTCATTTTACATGTGAAAAGATATTTTTTCTAGTTGCCAGTGGGATTTGAAAATCCAATTATATTCTTTCTGACTCTTAAAATTATTAGTAATTACCATTCATAATAATTTTGCAGTCAGAAATTGGCTGACAATATCTTATTGATAATGCACAGATAATGACAGTCCAGCTCACTCTTCTATATATGCATGGGCTGTGCAGTAAAAGTGATTTTTTTTATTTATTTTTTTTGGCTGTACCTCATTATTATGATAGCTGGTTTGCTTAAATAAACAAACTGAGTTTAGGAAAGAAGAAACACAGTGTTATAGTGATCTGTTACAGTTGGTATTTTGTGATAATTCTTCAAATAAACCCGTACATTATAGACAAATCTTGTGATTTTACTGGGTTCTCAGACTGGGTAGATAACCTGCATCTCTAAATTATGGGCAAATAATTTTGAATGCACCTAACATATAAGAAATTCTATAAAGAAACTATGTAAAAATGAACCTATGACGAAAGGGGGGAAGGTTGTTGATAAAGGTGCAGAGGAGCTTGTTCTTGTGGATAAAGCACAGGAAGAGGTGTCCAGAGATCTAGGTTCCATTCTTTGCTCTGCTACAGAATTGTCTGTATGACCTTGGGACAAGTAAATTTGCCTTTCTGTGCCTCAGTTTCTCCTATCTATAAAATATAAACAGTAGCTATATACCTTACAAAGATGCTGTAAGGCTTCATTTAATATATTTAAAGCATTTTGTGGTGCTTGGGGATGAAAGGTGCTGTAGAAGTGCAAGTTATTATTTATTATGTATTGTTGTAATTTAATAATTGAATAAGGTGTTAGGAAGTGGTGGAATGCGGAGGGAAAGGGAGAAGTAGGCTTTGATGACAGCAGCTGGATGAAAGGAAAACAGGCACGTGTTGGAGGCAGGGTGTTGGGGGTGGGTAGGAGGAGATTGATGAGTGCGAAGTGGGCATGCTGGGGAGTGGGAAATGGGTAGTGTTGTAGGGAAATAAATAAGAAGATGAGTGAATCGGGAATGCTTGGGAAAAGGAAATAGGTGATAAATAAAGGTGGGGAAGAAATGAATAAAAGGGGTGGATGATGAATAGAAAATGAAGTTAAAGAGAGTGAAAAGATAAAGCAGCAAGCCTAAAGGTCCCTGGAATAGAAGCCAAGCCTGGGACTACTGACTTTTCCCACAGTACCATGCAGCGTTGCAGCCACTGTGGAAAGTAAGTCCCACACAGAGTACCACACAAGGGAGTCAGAGTCACAGTGCCCTGTGGCCCTCTGATTGGGCAAGCACCCTATTTAACTCAAGGGGTTGGCCCAAGAAGTTCTCTGGGCTGGGCAACCACACAGACTTTGGCCTGCTGAGACTCCAGACTCCACCTTGGCTGAGATTAGGCACCAGAAGACAGACTCTGATC